GAAGTAGCAATCACACCACCCACTTACACAAGGCTGAGAGGGAGGCAATAGCCGCTTCCATTAAGAAGCAGCCCCAGGTTTGGGGGCCCATTCAGTTCTATTCTGGGGCCAGAGCCCTTTTTAGGTCAGACAAGTAAATTAATCCTTTTAAACTACTCTGAGATAGTTTGGGGCAAAGGGATTAGAACAGGACTACAGATTTCTCTTTACAAGCAGTGTTTCACTTTACTCTGGCTGCCAAGCCACCCATTGGACCGTATGTATTCAAGGGAAATAAAAGGGGCTTCAGGCCACAATTCAGGCCCATCAGCAACAACTAGCAAAGGGAAGGATTCTAGGGCTGTAATTGTAGTAGAGGGTCTATCAAACAGGATAGTGAGGCACTCCAGAGATGGGAAAAGTCCTGCAGACGTCCTTTAATCGCAAAGTCCACCTGTTGTGTCATTCTTAGCTTTTTTGGTTCTTAGAAACATAAAGGGCCATACTAGGTCAAGACCAGTGGTCCATCTAGCCTAGTATCCTTGTCTCTGACAGTGGTCAAAGTGGATGCTTTAGAGGGAGGGCACTGAACTGGGTAGATATATACTGAACCAGGTAGAGTGATCCATCTCCTATTCACTACCCTCCCTGGCATTCATCACTATTAGTTCAGGTAAAGATGTATTTATCCTTTGGCATCTCTGTTCTGTTTAATAGCTATTAATAGATCTATCACCCATGAATCTGCCTAGTACCTTTTTTGAACCTGGCTATTCTAGCTGCTTCTCCTATAGTAGCAACTTCCACAGGTTAACTACACATTGCATAAAAACTTCAGTGGGTACCTCCTAGTATTCTGTGACTTGGCAAATAGCAGTTCCCTATTCACTTTGTCCACACCCTTCCTGATTTTATAGGCCTCTATCATATCCCTCCTCAGTCTTCTCCTTTTCAAACTTAAGAGTCCTAGCCTTTTTAGTTTCTCCTGGCATGACAGCTGCTCCATCCCTCTGGTCATTTTGGTAGTCCATCTCTGTACCTTTTCTAATTGCATCCTTTTTTGAGATGTGGGGATTAAAACTGTACACAGTATATAAGATGTGGGAACAACCTAGATTCATATAGTGGCATAATGCTGTTTTTACTTCCTTTCTTAATGATGCCCAACATTTTGCTGGGGTTTTTTTGTTGCTCCTACATTTTGAGCTGATGTTTTAGAGACTCTAAGGGCTGTTCCCTGAATTTTAAGAGCTTGTTCAGAATATGTGTATGTATAATTGAGGTTATTTTTCCTCAGGTGCCTTACC